AGGACAGAATGGGCTTGTTCTAGTCATTGTGGCAACAACCATGAAATCCAGGAAGCGCTGATCCAACACTGTAACACAACTTTGTACCTGAGAAATGGCACTTGCATGAATTTCATGGAGAACAATTCTATGGAAGCTTTTTTTTTTTTTAGTACTTCAGCTCTCCAACCGTCTCCAGGCCAACTAAAATGCTTAATGTAGGATCCCAGCAGATGGATTTCAAAGAAATCCTTTTATGGCATACTTATTGGCTGGATTACATAAAGAGCGGTTGGAGGAAACGCTGGTATGTCCTGCTGCACCCTAAGCAAATCACGTGTTGAAGAAGAAGCAACTCAACTATCATAGAAAGATGCAACTCTCAAGTAGATTCCCCCCACAAGAATCCCCCCTTCCCATCCTAATGCCCAAGGCAGTTGCCTTCAGTTCAAAACAGTGAAAGGGGAATAGGAAAAGAGATGAAGAGGCAATCCTATTCCTATATATGCTCACTTGGGAAGCCAGTTCCACGGAAATAGGCTTTAATAGGCCTATTTGGTGAGTAGCAACTGCCCCCAGGAATCTGCATAAAGGAATTATACTGAAGGTTTCTGGGGAGTTTTCTTTCAGAACACAGATGAATAATGCAGGTATACTTGACACGGTGAATTAACGAACTTTTATGTTAGTAATATTTGTAGATTGATTTACTAAGTTACACTGAACAAAGCCGGACCGCTGAATAAACACAGGCAGGATTAGGTTCAGGTCAGCAATACTAAGAACGCAACCTCCAAGCAACGTTCCCAAGCTGAGAGCTTATTTGGAGAATCGTAAGATGTGAGCTCTAAGTGCCCCCTAGATGTTGGGCCACACCGCTCATTGCCCCAAGTCTACTAGCCATGGTGGTAGGGGATGATGGGAGCTGCAGACCAAAACATTTAAAGAAGGCCAGACTGCCACTGGACATACAGCAAGTTGACCATGGCAGCCTGCTTCAAGGAAGTAAGAGATGGACAATTTCATTTGTCTAATGGCAGGAACTCAAGTCAACCAATCACAAGAATAAACTAGGCATACTGACAGGCACAGAAATAAAACCTGAAGCTTGGGGCACTACAGGAATGCTGTGGGCTTGCACAGAAAGCCGGGGGGGGGAGCCAGGGCGGGACAAGAGAACAGGCCAATCCCCTCAAAGAATAATCCTGGCATTTCTCAGAATGAACCAGGGAATCTCACACCAGAAAGAGAGTCACAGTGAAGCCCCTATTAAGCTGAGCAATGAGGAGGGCTGGCATCCAAAGCCGACCTGTGTCTCCACACCCATGAATGGGGCCACTACTTCCTTCCATGGGTATCTTCTTGTAAGGGCTCACTCCAAACTTGGGAGATTTTGGAAGACTGGCACTAAGAGAAGAAAAGTTCAACCACCACCCCACATAAGCAGACAAGCATGCGAAATCCCAGCAAGCAAAGGACAAATCCACTTAGAGCAGTACATCAGAAACTCCTGCAAGGATGGGGGACACTTATCTGAACATATCCTACTATGAACAAGCCCACTGTTAAAGATGGCACGAAGCCATCACGCAGGTTTTTTTGAACTTTAGCAGCCAGCGACACCACCCAGAAATCTGGAGTCGCTGCAAGAAAAACGTGCAAGTCCATGCTTTTCAAATCTGGGCCATTTAACCAGACGTAACACAAGCCTTGCTCCACTCAGTGCTTTAGATGAGGGTTAGGGAACCCAGGCACCTCTTGACATTTTGACGACACTACCCATCTTCTCTGGCTACTGGCCATGCTGGCTGGGGCTTCTGACAGCTGGTGCCCAACAGCTCTCCCACCCCTTCCTTAAATGTTCATGGGGTTCTCCTCGAGGAACTCATATTCATTAATTACCCATTAGTTGATTATTTGCATTAGTTCCCTCAGGCAAATGATCAAGCTGATTAAGAAGCAGAATGGTGGATATCCTCATCTTCCCCCTATTCAGCGCATGATTAAATAGAGAGCATGCTATTTATTGTTTAGACTAAATTACTCCAAAGACAAGACAGTAAGACTCTGGTACACAAATCCCTGATGCTAAACTTTGTGAGAGTGTGTGTGTGTTTTGTAAACTGGCCCCTCCCTCCCCCAAAACCCAATGCATTTAACATGGACACATCAACGCATTTTAGTGAGGCAGCGAATGTCAACATTTCAAAAGCACTACAGCTGGTAGGAACAGCAAGAGTGCCAACATTTAGAAACACCTACTCAGGGTGCAATGATCTGCTTGTTTAGATAAGAAGGCTTAACATGTTCCAGTATTACTAGTCCTCAGAGCCTGCCAGGGAATGCTGGGAATTCTAGCTCCCCTTTTGTCTCGACATGATAGTGCTGCACCCTTGATGATTTCCCGAACAAAGGCCTCAAGCCCAGTCTCTGCTGACGGTTGCTCCCAGCATCCCATCTCTGGTATTTCTGTCATGGCTGAGAAGCAGGGCTTAATGAGTCAGACTTGCTAGACTCCATATCATTAATCATTTCTGCTAGTGCTTTCTGAAAACACAACAGTCAATTATCTCAAAAAATAACAGATTTTGCCTCCAACCCCTAAGCAGGCTTGTTGCTGCTGGCTAGACCCCAGGTGCTGATGCATGCGATGGGAATTGCTTGGAAGTGATGCAACTGAGCCCAGATTTTATGAACAAATTTGCTGACTGCCGGTTATAACAACTGTGTGTGACAGAGAAAAAAAATAAGCCCTCTGAATAAAGCCTTAGCTAGAGCTGAAAACTGGGAGGACCCAGGCTTGAGTGCCTCATTGCCAGAATCTGTCTTAAGGGGATAGGAAAGCTCAGGAAAAAAAACTAGGGGGAAATAAGAACACATAGGGGGAAATCATTTCCTCCTAATTTTTCCACAATTCCATGTTTTTAAAATCTGGATTTCCCCCCATTTTCCTAGGTCTTCCCAACTCTTCTCAGCTCTAGTCCTACTAAGGGAGGCACTGCTGGGTGCAGCAACCAGAAAACAAGACAGACGGCAGTGATCTCATCTTCAGGGTCCTGACTCGGAATGTGCAATACACATACAGCATGCCCTGAACAGATCAAGTGTTGCATAAACTATGCCCCCCTTTTAAGCCTCACTTCTGCTATGAGCATACAAGCTGTAGGCAAACCAGTATCTTGACAGGAAAAGATGCTGGAGTTCAGACAGTTACCGCTAGAGAGACTTGTCATTGGGATAATACTGACCTACCTTAGAGGCTGGTTGTAAACATTACACAGATACTAATGAGCAGGGCAACAAAGGCAGGAGCTGTCCTGTCCAAGGTTCCAGCCAGCTGCATCCCTGAAGATACCGCACATCATCCTGCCCTCCCACTTCTTCAACAGACAGTCCACAGTCTATGCACAGGAACAGTCCTGATTTGGCTGCTTGGGCTGTTTTTAGGGGGAAATGCCCTCTGAATACTCAAGAAGGAAACGGAACGTGACAGTTTCCCTAAGCAAGCAGACCCCCCCCCTTTTTGCTTCTCAATGGCCTTCCTTGAGCTCCACAGCCGTTGGCACTCCACCTGAGTTTTCTACGACAGGGAGTGGCATACAAGCAGCACTCTGAATACTGCTTAAGCAGGATACAAGTGCCAAATATTATTCAGTGACCACAGATGGAGAGGAGGTTGTGGAGAAGTAGTGAGATAAACAAATCAGCATTGGCTAGGAATCTGAAGAGAGAACTATAAAGAGAGTGACAGGAACAAGTAAAAATGCATTAGAAAGGTAGGATCAAAAGCAGCTGTCTTTTTTTTTTCCTTTTCCAGCCTTCAATCAAAGAGGAAAGGAGAAGAGGGTACTGCCATCCCTCTAAAAAAAACCCACTTCCTTTATTTTAGAAGTCACACACTGACAGGGGGCTGAGGGAAGAAAAAAGGAACAATGAGATGAAATGAAGCAGCCTTTGAAAGGAAACAAGCCCAGCACTTAAGCTGCTTCTTTTGCCACCCTCAATTTACAAAAAGCTTACTGTGGAACTGAAACGGTCCTATTGTTTTTTTTATCTTCTCACCCTCTGGGCATCTGACTGTGTGCGCATGCTTGAAACTGAAAGGAGGAATAATTTCATCATGGGCAAGCCCCTAATGAAACCCCACCCATTCAAAGAACACATACCTCATGTGACGGGAAGTGGGTGAAACATTGCAGTGATGATGCTCTGGGCCTCTAATGAGGCATAAGATGGCCACATGATAGAAAGTTCCCTCTCCGGTTTTCTTCTCACCCCACCTAACCGTCTAAACCAGGCTGGTGGCTTCCAAGTATGCTGGGACTACAACTACCAGTATTCCAAGCAAACCCACACGTTCTGTGTATTTTGAGAAAGAGGATTAGGATGCAATTTATTCCTCTTGCTCACTGGAACTGATGGGAGTTGTCACCCAACACAGCTTAAGGCCAGCAGCCCAAGGAAGGGACTACTTAAAATTATAATGAAGCCTCCCCCCGCGGAAATCCACCAAATCTGTTCATAGTTTTCGCCATTTTCCGGCTTCTCAATCCATTATGGAAAGTGGTTCCTTGAAATCCTACTGAAGCCCCCTCCTCAAAATGGATGGAATCTGTTCATGAGATGACGATCCCCTGCAACCCCCCCCCGCACCCCCACTCCTGGGGTGGACTGACATCGTACTAAGGCCCCCTCCAGACTGGAGACCACCTGAAACCTTCCCTCGTCCCCCAGCTTCTCACTAGGGGAAGGGGTTGCCTGGATGGATTGGACTTTCACCACAGGAGGCCCCTCCCCGCCGAACACAGGCGAGCTGCCCAAGGGATCCGGAGCTTCCCTGGCCGCCTCCCCCGCCCCTTCCCCTTCCCCTCGGAGCTGCTCCCGCAGCGGAAGGGCTTCACCACTGCGCCACCGGGGCGTCCTGCCCCTTCCCCGCCGCTTTCAAGGAGAGACAGAGCGAGCGGGGCGGGATGCAAGAGCGGAGTGGGAGCGCGGGCTAGCCAGGCCCAGAGTGGCTTTACCTGAGGATATTGTGGGCCTCCATGCTGCGGTTTTGGTTGCTGGAGCAAACCACAGCCACCCGGAGCGGCGAGGAGGGCATGGCGGGCTGGCTGGCTGGCTGGCTGGCGAGGAAGGGACGGGGGCTGGGGGGCAGGTGGGGGCCAGAAAGGGAGGGCGGCGGCGGCGGGCCCTTGGCGAGGCGTCCTTCCCTCGACGACGACGGCGGCGGCGACACAGCCGGCCGGCGGGCGGGCGGGCGGGCGGCAGCGTCTCCTCCTCCGTCCGTCCTCACAAAATGGCGGCCGCGGGGAGCGGAACAGGCGGGGCCTGGCGACGTGTCCGGCTTTGGCAGCGGGCCGCCCCGCCCACTCTCGCGTCCGCCGCCCAGCCTTCCTTTCGGACCATAGAGAATACGGAATAAGAAAATACAGAGTGGCTCCTCGTCTCGTGGCCCCACCGCCCCCTCTCTAGCCGCCTTGCTCTCTCTGCGCTTTGCGCTCGGCCAGGCGGAGAGCGACTCGCCGCCCGCCCACTCCTTACGGTCATTTGCATATCGCTATGGAAACCGAAGAGGAAAGAGGGCTGAGGGCCTTCGGCGGTGTCTGGGACAGGAAAACAGCGTCGCCCTAGCGGGGCTGTTGTTTTATGCACATGCCCGGCTGAGGCGCTCCAGGGCTGTCATGGCGTCCCGAAAGGAACCCTGGGAGGTGTAGTTCTCTTGGAGGCACTAGGAATGCGCTGTCAAAAAAGGGCTTGCCATCCTCTAGTCCAGCTTTCCCCAGAAGATTACATTTCCCAGAAGGTAAAATATATTCTGAGAATCTAAATTTTTTATATATATATATATATATATATAAATATACAAACATGGAAAATACATATAGTTCTGAGGAGGGCAAAAGACTTTTTTTGACAGGCTGCTAAGGCAGGTTTAACAAAAAAAAGTGACTCTCCCTAAGGCAAAAAAAAAAAAAAATCTTGGTTCCTACCGGTTTAGCTGACAAAGCCCACTGCAAGGGATACGGGGAACTGTTGTTTAGGAATGGGCCTGGAAAATCTCTGTCAAATTACTTGGTCAAACCTCTGCACTACTCAAGGATCCTAGGGGAAGAGGGAGGTCTGGCTGAAAAGCTCAGGTTGGCTGGGCAGCGGTGTCCCAGTACCTGGGACACATAAGGGTGTCTAGTGACGTCACATCATGGATCTTGGTGACATCATAAGGCAGTGCTTGTGATGTCACGAGGCTGCAAGAGCATATTCTCTGAGCTGCCAAAAGAAAACCTTTCAAGAGCAAAGACAGAGAGCCTAGGAACCAGGCGGTGGAGGCCACAATCTGAAAGCCCCAGAGAGGGAGGGAAATCATTCAAAATCATTTCCCTTATTTATTTAATGGCTTTATATTCCATTACAATAGCCCATAACAGGGCTGCCTGTGCAGCTCACAATATCACCTGTATATCAGATATGCACCTCTTGCTTTTTTAAAAAGAATTTCTTTTCCCCATTGGAAAAATTGAAAGTTAAACCCAGATGACATTGAAACTTAAACATACGCCTTACGTTCTTTTTCAGACTAATAAGTGAAGCTCATTCTCTTACTGTTCCAAAACCTCTTTCAGAACAAGACAAAAGTGTAAATGACCCTAAAATGACAACCACACTCATAATTTGTTGACTTCGACACTCATTGTCCATTTAATTCATGCCACAATCTCACAGATCCACTTTTTATCATTCTGTTCTATATATACCCTTCCAGAGCGGACTTGAAGCTGGCTGTAGTTTTGAGTGTCTTAAAAGCACTTATGTTGGACTCCAGCCGCACCAAACTCTTTGTAGTCATCACGCGTAAACCACATGGGTTCGAAAGAGGTCAGATGCGTAAGGATGGAGCCGCCAACCCAACTGGCATAAGATCTTTCTGGAGAGGCTACAATTCGCATTGGAACTTTCTTGGAAACTTCCTGCTCCACCTCTTTCAAAAGTCTTTCATCCAGTCCACGGAAGAGAGACGATCCCCCTGCGAGGATCACATTCCCACAGAGAGGAGCATAGATGTCCTTGTCACACTTCTTGATGCTCTTGGTGATCATGGTGTGGATCCCCGGTGCTTCAATGCCTATGGTCTTTGGCACAAACAGGATTTCCGGTGCTTGGCAGAGATGCAGATTGATCCGGACGGAATTCCCGTCTGGAAGCTTGAGGACCTTCTCGGCATTCTTCTTGACTTCCTGCGTGGGCTCCAAGGCCACATAGCAGAACTTTTCCTTGATATCCTTCACCATGGTTTTCTTGGCACTGCTGATAGAATGGCTGTTCTCCAAAAGGAGACTGGCGAGATATTCCGTAACATCCTTCCCTCCGACATCAAGTCTGGACACCCCATGAGGTAGACAATACCCGTCATAGATAGGGACGGTGTGGGTTACGCCTTCCCCACTGTCCATGACCAACCCGGTGGTGCGTCCTAACGCATAAAGAGCCAACGTCGCTTGGACGGACAGGTACATCCCTGGAATATTGAAACATTCGAACATCACCTCTGTGATTTTTTCCCGATTCTGAGGCGGATTCAGGGGTGGTTCTGAAAGCAGCAGAAGCCTTTCGCTGGCTTTTATTTTAAGCTCATTTTCGAAAATATGCCTCCACAGTTTCACCATGTCATTCCAACAGGTGATCCTGCCACGCTCAATGGGATAATTCAACACCACAGCACCTTTCTTGGAGAGGGCTGTCTCCCCCACGTAGAATTCCTCCGCTTTCTGTTTTGGGTGGCCAATGACAGACGTGACAAATGCCCGTGGCTTATTCTCACCTGCGATCCCGGCTTTACATGAGCCAGATCCATTGTCAATTATTACGGCTGGTGTTCGTAAGATCTTCTGATCCAACATCTTACTGTTAAGAAAGGACCCAAGAAAATACAGCCCCTGCTGCTTCTCGCCTGGAATCTTTAGTTGATGCTGGCCGGTCTGGTGAGGGAAAGTTCTAGAATCCTAAGAGCACAAAAGGCAAGAAACCTTGACATTCCAGCCGTAGCTGTAGCAAGAACTGATCCTCACATTTGATCATCAAAAATAAAATTGCTGTAGCAAGGAGTGATCAGCAGTTCACCAGTAAGGATTGATCGTAGCTTCTCTCTCAAGGCAGCCAAGGGGTCAGAGTTTCACGCTTGTCAAGCATAATTCCAACACAAATCCCAAAGCCGTTGCATATATTGTGCAATGAATAAATAAATTTCATGGAAACAAATTGGTGAGGATTCTTTCTTTCTCTCAGCAACATTCCTGGCTTGTGTGAGCAGCCAAGCAAGCAATGGATGTAATTAGGCTGCAGTGGAATGTGACATCCTGACACCAGTGCTAGCTTAATTAAGGGTTTTCATCAAACATTGACCCAAGAAGGTTTGAGGTCCATCCCTCCTTGCTATGCAGAATGTTCTCCAGAAAGGAGGGGAAGGACATGCCTGTAGGAAGCACTTCAAACACTCCTAGTCTTTGGCTTCATGGTGTAATGGATGAATCGATTACAGTAACTGAAGAAAGAAAGCTTAATTGACTTAAGAAGTTCACCCAATGAACTGGGTAGCAGATGTCTGCATTTTTCAAAAGTACTGTGATATTTCTAAATGCTTCTGATAAACACAGAAGATGAAAACCACCCAAACAAAGGATGCTGAAATGGCTACAAGGCTGAGCTGTCTTCAGGTGCTCAGAGGCACCATGGGTGACCTGCGCGGGGGATGCTGGGGGGGAACTGGGAGCCCAACCGGATTCCAACTGGTGGTGAAGTCCTGCATGGATTCACAGGCAAATGGTGGTGAGATTTGCAACGGAAACATGATAGCTGCCTTTGAGCATGTGAAAAGTTCTCACACGGAAGACTGAACATGCGTATTCTCTCTTCCACCAGAGCAAGAAGTGGAAACTGCAGAAAAGTAGAAGCCAGAAAAACATTTGGAGACATGTCACAGTGATTTTCCCCACTGGAGCAGACAAGATTGCACAGGGAAGGGACTTGATGATATTCCTCTGTCGTTATGCTTTGGAGTGAATTTCCGTTTTGGGAAATCGAACTGGTCCCAGCTGCAGAGGCTGTGCCTGGGCTCACAGCCAGCATGCATTTTCTAAGAATGTGGAAATTGGATTCCCTCTTCCAGAGCCAGGGCCCTGATGTGAATTAGCCAGCTCTAAATAATTAATATAACTATTTTCAGCCATTTCTAGAGAAACATTTTTTAGCGTCCCTTCTCAAAGATTTTTGGAAAGTGTCGGCTCAGGCACTAGATGGCATCATTGCACAGCCAAGATGAGAATCCTCAGCACACGAGACTGATTGATTTATTATAAGCAAGGGAGGGATCCAAGGTTGCCAACTGCCTGAAACATAAACTGCAGAGCCTGCTCTTCGGCATGGCTGAAAACTGTGATATACACAAGGCAATATATCAATCCTTGTTATGGCATGGCGAGGCAGCAGTTCAGTAGCAATGCCCATGTTGCATCCATTCAGAAAGAGGGTGGTTTCTGTTGGTTTTTTAATGGTGGGTTTCAACAAATTAAAGCAAAAATAAAAATAAATTAAGAAAAAGGTACAAGATTCGTTTTCTCACATATGCTCTGAATAGATCAGTTGTGATCTATTATGCAATTATGCAAAAATCTCACAAGGGTGAGATTTTTGCCATCCAGCTATACCTAGGCTTCGACAAAGGCAGCGCAAATCTCCATGCATTTATCCATTCATAGATCACCTGTCTAAAAATCTATACCTTGGCTCTTCAAACTGAAGCAAATGAAAACGAAACGGAAGGAGGAGGAGGCTGAAACCCCCAGTCACAAGAGCCTTCTTTGGAAGATGCATAATAACCCTCGCAGAATTGCCGTCCTGCTTGCTTTAAGGCTCCAATTATTCACTGAGGAAAAAGGATTCAGCAGAGGATTAGAAACTCAAATCCTGCAGCCCTTATATTAAGTTTTCACCGAACAAGCTGGTCTGAACGACTCACGCCTATTTATTACGCCCAAAAAATCAGCTGTTTTCCTAGGGCACCATCCCCGGAGGAGAACCACACTGGGAATGGTGTTCCTGAACTTTGCAGTGCTGGAGAAAATGCACTCTGCACTAGCTCAGGAGCACTTTGGCCTGCCCTTGCTTCATCCGATGCAAGATTTAGGCCTGGTACGCAGGCCTGGGAACGGGTGGAAGGGGAAGGGATTGAATCCCAGCAAGACTGGAAGTCGTTTCCATCCTGGCGTCCCCCTCTGGTCGCATCCATGGACTTCTCTTCATCGGCCGCTCTGAAAGACTTCACCTGCCCGCCGTGACTCAGCAGAACTATGAGCCACACCTGTCGGCCTGTTCTGAACATCCAAAACCCCACACAGTGCATCCACCACACCAGGAGGCAAAGAGCTTCCAAAAGACATCTGACCCCCTGCCAGATTCATTCCAAATATGCTGCGCCCTTCCTTTTCTCCGTTGGGTACCATGTTTAAATCTCCCTTCCATTGTTTCCAACATCTTTCAAGGCATCCTCGATTTTAAAGTCTGCCCAGCCCAAGTCTGACACGAAGCTTCCCCACACAAGTTTCTCTGCCTCCACCAATGTGTTGCCCACCCAGCATAGAAACAGAGTGAGTCAGAAGGGGCCTCCCAGGCCATCTAGTCTGACCGCCCCCCCCCCCGGCTCTAGCGGCTCTGCTCACAACATGCCTACCATGTCATGTGCGTGTCCAGCCTGTCCTTGAAGACCCCCACCGATGGGGCCTCAACCACCTCCCCTGGAAGCCCATTCCACACCCTGGGGGTCCTGACTGTCAGGAAGTGCTTCCTGGCATCCAAATGGAACCTTGGCTCCCTGAGCTTGGCTCCGTTGGAGCGCGTCCTGCCTTCCTCTGCAGGGGAGAACAGGTCTCTACCCACCTCCATGTGACACCCCCTCACACACCTGTATGTTGCCAACAGTTCCGCTCGGAGTCTCCTCTTCTCCAGGCTGGAGAGACCCAGTTCCCTCAGTCTCACCTCGCGTGGCTTTCCCTGCAAACCGGCCACCAACCTCGTGGCCCTGCGCTGCACTGACTCCAACCTGGCTACATCCCTTCTGTAATGAGGGGCCCAGACTTGTATGCAAGACTCCAACATCTCCCGGCACCTCCCCATCCACTCGGCTTGTTTACTCCATCATCTTCTCTCCCACCTCTCAGGTGCTCATTTTATGGCCTTCTTTTTTCTGGCAGTGAATGAAGATGGGGAGCTGGGCTTTTGCAGCCCTTTGAGAAAACCGGGCGGAGTGACTTCACATTTCTATTCTTGCCTCACACATGTCTGTCTGCTCTAAAAATAGCCTTTCATTAGCCAAACTGTCTCGCAGCTTTGTGTGTACATGGAAAGAAGGTTGTTTTCCCCACTCCTTGGCTGCCTGACTTTGTGGAAGGTCCTGCAAAGCAGAAATGATCTACCGGAGCGAGGATATTGCAAGCCGTGGGGGCAGCGGTGGCTGGGAAACTCCAGACCACCTTTCAGTTGCAAAGCTCACTGGATGATCTCGGACCAGCCACAGACTCTGCCTTTCAGCCTCTCCTACCTCACAAGGTTGGTTTTAGGATAAGCGGGTAGGAGAGGAAACCTCGTATGCCCCCCAAGCTCCTTGGTGGAAGGACAGTGTAGAAACACAGCTACCTTGTTACAGCTGCCAAATACAATGAGTGCTGTTGCTTGTTCCAACGCTGGTAACCCCCCCCCCAAAAAAAGAGTTCACTGGCCCAGTTGCCAGCCCTGTCTCCCCAGTGTACTGCTTCCAATCCTCATGCACTGCCTTCTGGAAAATCGTTCCCTGACCTTGCTTCAAAGGGAAGTAAGCCCTGTATCCAAAACAGATCCGGTCCAATTCTGTTTTAAGCTCAAGGTAGTCCTATCGATCTTGGCTCCTTTTCTCATACCTGAGAGATTAAGCAAAGAAAGTGGAGGGGGGGGGGAGTTATTTTCAGCCACAGCAATATGCCAGAACAAATCACGGGCTGAGAAAAGAAAGTCCTGGCAGGGTTTTCTTGAGAGCTGTAATTACTTAGAGGGATGGACGGCACTTTTAGGGATATTAACATCTTGTGAAAAGGAGAGAATAGGAAGGATAGGAGCTGGCTCTGGATAAAACCAATATTGGTACCACTTGTGCAGGGGCTGATTATACCCTCTGACTTTGGGGATCTATGAGGAAGGAGCAGCCGCATGAACAGGGACCGAGGGTTGGGGTAAGTTGTGGCAACCCAGGTTCATGCTGGACATCAGGAAAAGCTTCCTCACTGTCAGAGCAAAAGGACAGTGGAACCAGCTGCCTGGAGAGGTGGGGGCTCTCCCACATTGGAGGCATTCAAAAAGAAACTGGACAGCCCTCTGAGTGAGATGGTGTGAATTGGTGTCTCACAACAGCAGGCGGCTGGACTAGATGGCCTTCGTGGCCCCTTCCAGCTCTACTATTCTATGATTCGATGAAATCCAGCTGGAGACACATTAAGCAAAGATGTTGCACCATCATGGGTGGCTTCATGTCCCTCTCATGTGGACAAAGATTCCAACCACACATCCCATCCACCTGCTCACCCCCAAGCAGCTGTGCCTAGGAAGCCTGCTTGGAGGGCCATGGCTGCACTGGTCATGTCTTGCCCCACGCGAGACTTGGGGCAGCGCGCTTCGCACAGGACAAAGGAACCATCTGTGGGGTGACCCTTCCACTCCCGCCAGCTCATGCAGCACCCATCTGGCATACCTGCCAAGCAGGGAAATTCTTCATAGCAGCAGCCAATTCAGGAAGGTTGTAATGTGGTTGGTGGCACATGCCACGGAACGGACCAAATGGAATCCGTGGCTTCACATCTCCGTCTGCTCCTGTGCGTTT